CAGATTTCCATTAATATTATACAGAAAAAGTTACAGTCTGTCTTATCAAAGCAATCTCTGGGTGCGCTTTGCGTGGCTGTTGGGGTTCACGAGCCAACTAAGGGAGTCAATAAAGATACAAAAGTTCAAAATAATCAATTATGGATATCTGAGCTGGGAGTTATTGAGCAAAGGTACCAAAAAATTCATTTATTCGATATCAACATTCCCAATGGTCCGATTTTGCAGGAGTCAAGGTCAGTAGAGGCGGGTAATAAGATTTTGTGTCCCTTCCCAGTTAGCGACAACGCTCCTGGATTCAAAGTAGGATTTTCCATTTGCTACGACATTCGCTTCCCTGAATTAGCCGCACGACTCAGACAAATGGGGGCTAATATTCTCACTTATCCTTCAGCGTTCACGACAAAAACAGGTGAGGCGCATTGGTTAGAACTAGGACGCGCCCGTGCAATTGACTCCCAATGTTATGTGGTTATGGCCGCGCAATGTGGCGAACATGATATATACTACTGGCCAAATCCACAGCCAAATTCTGCCAGGGCCTGGGTGCGGGAGTTCTTATTTTGTATTTTCTATTATGGCCGTTTCCGGTTACATCCGTCTGGAACGGGTGGACGTTGTTGCGTATATTGTTGTAGTCCTGCTGCGGTTCACAATTGAAGGGCGCTAGCGGTGAATGTTGGCACCAGGCATGGCGCCAGGCATGGAGCAGTTTCGCACTAAATTCTCAGTCAGGCCAGTGCCGAATGATTGAGCGGTAGGTCCTTTTTGCAGGGGGCCGTTTTGGTAGTATGACCTGTATTCACAGGGTGGCCTGCTAAAAATCGAGTCTGTTCTAGAAATATAAAGTCTCCGAAAAAAAAGCAGTTCTAGAAGTACCCTTTGTCGCCACGTGGTGAGCAATTTGCCAGAGTGGGCATCTCGCGAAACATGCGGAAAGATCGCCTCGTGTTCCAGGCACAGCATCGATCCGGAAACTCAGTCTTGACAATGGTCGAACGGGGCATTTGCTTTCTGGATATTCGAGAAAAGCGTCAGGTTCTGAAGTCCGCCCCGGTATGCATGCCGCCATTTGAGGGAACAGCGTTTGCACTTGGCACCCAATTCTGTCCCAGGTATTAGATTCTCCGGGCACGATATCAGTGGGTGCGAACTTGGATATAATATAATATATCGTGGTCAACGGAATGCACTAAAAGTGTGTTTTCCTAGGATGTAGACATGACTGTAGATCAGCTTTGTGGGCTCTTTGAGCCGGTGTAAACCTCGGGAAGGCTGAAAATACATCCGTTGCACGCATGCTCTCTTCTGGAAAGAACCCCCACCTATCCAGTCAAATTGCTCACATTGAAATTACTTGCTCTGGAATAACTGGCAAACGAGGCAGCTTGGACTATGTATGCAAAAAATACATCAATGGCTTCACGGTCCATTCCTTAGAGCAATGACCAACACGAATCGTGTTTTGGGAAGCTCAATCAGTATTGTCCAGAAGTGTTTACCATGTAGACTGCCTGTTGCACCTGACAAGTCAAAGTCTTCTCTGGTGAACCAAAACTGCTTTGTCAACCAGCCTACAGAAATACGAATAAAAAACAGAACTCATACATCTTCGGTATTCCTTTGCTCTGAAGGCCCACCTAAGATATGAGCCTTGTTCTTCGCTGCACCAAAAGCAAGAGAAACCCTCGTTTTCTGAGTGGCGTCGACCGGCGCCACTGGCTCCGTGGCCCCGCGAAAACATCTACGCGCTACAGATCTAATATCAGAAATCTCCCAAAAGGTACCACGCCACCAATAGTTCCCCCACTACAAATCCACCATGGCCGAGGCTCTCGAAATCCAATTTGTCAAGAATGAAATCGAGTTCAATAGACTTCTCACTGAGAAAAAGTACCTCATGGTCAACTTTACTGCGTCCTGGTGCGGGCCGTGCCAGGCGTCCAAGCCGACGGTAGATGGAATGTACCAACACCCCAAATACAAGAAAATCGAGTTTTTGCGAGTCGACATCGACTCTTGCCAGGCCGTGGCTCGCAAATACGAAATCTCCTCGGTGCCCACGTTCTTGTTTTTCGAAAGCCTGAAAGAAACCGAGCGCGTGCGTGGATTTTCTCCAAAGGTCAAAGAGGCGTTGGATGCCTTGGCCGAAAAAGCGAATACGGACCACTCGGTGGTTGATAGGGAAAACCAACAGGCTTCCGGGCTTCTGGGTTCAGGCGCAGAGTACCGGAAAGAAATTGCCAAGTTTATTCCGAAGGGCTTTGAAGTGGTCAATGACGCGATTCATTTTGGTGAACTAGTGGCACTCAACATCATGCCGTTGTACAAGAAGACGTCCGACGTCAAGCTCTTGTTCAAGCCTGCGAGCGAAAACACCACTGTCTACAGTGACGCAGACTCGCAAGCGTTGTTTTTCGTGCCGTTGAATCATATCTGTAAGGTCTACTCGATACTCGTCAAGATTTCCAAGCCGGCAGCCCTGGAGTCCACCGAATTGGATCTGGACGAGCTAGCTGATGAATCACAGAGTCCTGCGCTTGTCAAGGTTTGGGCAAACAAGCCATCCATCTTATCGTTCGAGGATTGCACCGGGTCTGACGCTCTCCATGAAGAGCGTTTGAAGCCTGATCTCGAGCCAGGCTGGCATGAGATCAAGCTCCGGTACGTGCGGTTCCAGAGTGTACAGAACCTCAACATATTTGTCGAGGGTGCCGATGAGGATGCTCATACGATCATCGATAAGGTGGTTATAGTGGGTCTTACTGGCGAAAGCATGGAGCACACGGCCATTCAGCAGGATGAAGATTAGAGACGAAGCTGGTTGCGATTATGGTACTGAAACAGATCTGCTGGCACTGATGCAGTATATCAGATGTTGGAAGCTTATCTGCTTCTAGGTAGTGTGGGGCTTGAAAGCATGTTGCTCTCGGAAGCCAGAAGTAAGAATATATATTGGTATTTTTCTGGCGCACGCTTCTGTGGAAGTGTTTCCAGTAGATTTTCTGTGTAAGGGTGGCGGATGTTATTTGAGATCTTCCCTCCATTTTTACATGCCCTGCGCCTCTCTCAGCTATGAATAACTCATGCAAGTACCTGGAGCCACATAGTATAGATACGAAAAGAAACTAGGTATCAAAAAGGTGGTTTATTGTTATAGTCTTGATATGGATCTCGTACTTCTTCAATCTTCCATACCTTTTACCAAGCGGAAAAGCGTGAATGCCAACGAATCACTCATACATACACAAGAAACTATGAAGATCAGTTTCTTTATTCCTGTGTACCTTGCGCCACAGTCTGATGTTTGCAAAACATGGCTGGTGCCCTACATATCATGCATGCGGAGTTGCCTCTGAATATGAGACCTCGTTTAATGTTAACAAATGAAGCCGGCAGTTTTTGGACGAAGCAATTTATTTACCTGCCTTCAAACTGTATCTGAGTACGAACGAGCTTAAGAGCGTCAATCCTTCTGCTGATAGCCTAAATACTCCTTTGAGTTGCCATATCAAGATGCGGTGTCGGGAGCCTTGAGAATTTGGTAGTCTGACTTCAATCCTGCAACTGGTGCTTTCTATTGCTTCTGACTTGTTGGCTCGTTGGCCCCAAAGATCTTTAATTACATATCATGCGAGATCTGAACAAACATTACCGTGGCAAGGTGTTTCCGAAATTCTTGATACGCATGGCGCCAATCCTGCCAGTCTCAAGCAGAGTGAGCCAATGATGAAGTAGAAAGAAGCGAATCTGAAGCCTCAACATCAACCTCAAAACAAACTTTCCGAAAGATACTGAATGTCTGTGGCAGAGGATTTTATTAACAGCGCGTTCCCTTATGTGTTAATAAAATAACAGTGTGGGCTTCAAGCACTCGAAAAGCGTAAGAAATCCTAAAACACCCAAGCTCTTTGGCTACAAAATCCTCGAATGGGTCTTTGGGAGGGCTAAAAACATAGGGCACATTTGTGAACTGGCTTCTGCCGCCATCTGCAAGGCCAAAACTGCATCCGGGCAGCCGCATCAAGAAACGGGCAATTGTATAAAGCCGTCTATTCTGCATTGGATTAATATTTTCAGTCACGATCACCGGCTCTCGGCATATTGATGTTCCTGTTTAAACGTTGTCTCGGCTCGCCGTTTGGTGAAGGGGAAATATTCATGAGCTATGCATATGGCTGAATTATACCTGTTTATTTGCTGGACGCAAGAAGATTGTGTAAGCTTAAATGCCGGCACAATTTGTATCGTTTTCTACGTGCTTGCAATATACTACCCAATATCAGTCGGAGGTTCCCGTGACCCCGCAAATAAGAAGCCATGGTCAGGCGATATGCGCGGAGCTCGCAGCTCGTCGGCCCCGCCAAATTCTGAGGCCGGATTCCGAAGCTCAGTTTCTGGGGCCAACCTCGGCAAATTCTGAGGCGCTCCTCAAACCTGTGCCACACGTGGTTTTATCGAGTCACCATTTGCAACAGGGCACGTGATTTTGTACTGATACTGTTTTCGCTGGAAACGCCAAATGGGACGAGATGAAAATATATCGACTCTCGTGCTTGGTGTTTGGATGTGGGGCTGACAATTCAGTCCACCTCGCCGGAGCTGCTCGGCACGCGCACCCAACATCAGCGAATGCCAACCTTCGCCACTGCACCGGACCATTTTAGCCGGGTCACGTGACACCTTCTCTCGGCTCTTTTCTCACAGTTTCCTCGCAGTCCCGCACCCGCAAAATATTAAGACTGGCCCATCTTTAGCCAGATTTCACCCACTCTTTGACCAACGCCGAGGGAAAAATCTTTACACTCGAGGGTCCACAGCATAGAATCAAGCACCAGGCTTTTGCGAACATCCACTCCAAAAACGAGCACGGGCCTCCAGTCTCCATTTGCACATACCGCCCTATTGACAGGCAAAAAACACCACTGAAACCCACAAAATGGTCTCCCGTTCTCTTTGCCGGAGCCTTCCGTTCAACCGCCAGCTTGCGCTTGGCCGCACGCTCCGCCCGAACTACTTTCCCACTCCGGCTGCAGTTTTTTCCGTGGGCCCAAGGAAAAGCAACTACTTCGCCAGATATAATTCGACCAAAGCTGGCTCAAACAGCCCAGTCGAGGACCTCTCCAAGAAGGTGGCTCCGCTGCAAACGGTCAAGCACACCGAGTTGTCCCAAGATGTCGCTGCGCAGGAATTGGTGCAGAGTGGGCAGAAGGATGATGCCATGCCAGCAGCGCCCAAAAAAACAATCTGGGAAAAAGTGAAGCACGAGGTTGCTCACTACTGGGCAGGCACTAAGTTGTTGGGCTACGAGATCAAGATCTCCACCAAGTTGTTGTTCAAATTGGCGTCGGGCTACGGGCTCTCGAGAAGAGAAAGTAACCAGTTGCAGAGAACCATTGTGGATGTGGCCAGATTGATTCCTTTCTCGATGTTCCTCATCGTTCCTTTTGCGGAGTTGCTCTTGCCAGTGGCTTTGAAGATATTCCCCAACTTGTTGCCTTCCACGTACGAGTCGTCTTCTGACGTCAAGAAAAAGAGAGCCCGGTTGTCCAAGGCTCGCGCCAATGCGTCCGAGTTCATCAAGAAGACCATGGAGGAGTCCGGGCTCAAATTGTCGAAGAAGATTTCCGAGAAGGAGAGAGAGGAATTTGTCTCGTTCTTCCACACTATTTCCATGGGCAAGACCCCCGCCAAGGAGCACCTCATCAAGGTGGCCAGAATGTTCAAGAACGACCAGGTCTTGGACAACTTGTCGCGCCACCAGTTGATGGCCATGACCAAGTACATGTCCCTTAGACCGTTCGGCACCGACTCTATTTTGCGCTACCAGATCAGACACCGTTTGTTGACCATCATCAAGGACGACAAGGCCATCGACTACGAGGGCGTGGACTCCTTGACCGTGCCTGAATTGCAGCTTGCCTGCTCCCAAAGAGGTATCAAGACGCAGGACGCTTCGCCAGCCCGTTTGAGAGAAGACTTGGACACGTGGTTGGACTTAAGATTGAGACAGAAGATTCCTTCCACCCTCTTGATTCTTTCCTCCGCGTACACCTATGGTGAGCACACTCAGGGTGTCGACACTTACTATAGTGCTTTGTTGGCTGTGTTGTCTTCGATTCCAGACGAGGTATACAACGTTGCCAAGTTGGAGTTGGCTGATGACTCCAAGTTGAAGTTAGACATCTTGAAGGAACAGGACGAGATGATCAATGAGGAAAACATCCGGGAGAAGGATACTGTCAACCAGATCAAGGATAACATCAAGTTGGATGAATACGAGGAGACTGCCACGGAGGGCATGAAGATCGAGCAGGACGATGACAAGAGCTCTGAACAGAGCAAGGAATCTGCCGAGCAGAAGCCAGAGCCCAAAAAGTAAGCCTGTTGGATCCTTGCGTGGACCAAGTAGTAGATGTACATGATTGATGACGCTTTTCTTCATTTCCCACCAAGAAAAACAACCTAAATATATCTTCTCCATTTATACGTACATAGCTATTTTTAAACGATCTTATTTATTGCACCGGCACGGGCTTGACAAGTCTTCTTTTTTTGGCCATTGGTCATTGCTGCATTGCTTGGTATGTGTTTGGGAACTGGCGACTGGCTCTACAAGTGCCGTATTTTCATATCGACTAGCTATTTTGTATTTCGTATTTATCATTACTGCCCTAGTTCTTACCGGTAGAACCAAAGCCGCCCTCGCCTCTGTCTGTAGCATCCAAGTCCTCTTGCGTGATGACCTGGATGTCAGCATTGATGATCTGTTCCAAGATCAACTGGGCGATCCTGTCGCCGGCCTTGATTTCAAAATCTTTCTTGCCGTGGTTGAAAAGAACCACCTTGACTTCTCCCCTGTAGTCGGCATCAATGACACCGGCACCAGTGGAAATTCCGTGTTTCACGGCAAGGCCCGATCTAGGAGCCACACGACCATATGTGCCGATTGGCACGATGATCGTCACATCTGTGGCAACCATGCCCTGGCCTTGCGCCGGGATCACGGCATCCTCAGAGGCATAGAGATCATACCCAGCAGCCAAAGCTGAGCCTTTGGTGGGCACGGTTGCCTTTTCCGAGCGGAGAAAAACCTTGAGTTGGTCGGAAGCTTTGATTTTTTTCTCAGCGGACATGGTGTTTCTGTTTTGATATGCTAATTGTTGATTTCCGGCGGGAATAGAAAAAAGGTAACGCTAGTGTACCAACAAGCTTAGACTGAGAAATTTCACACCCAGGCGTGGACACGCCTCTGAGGTCTGCATGAAACCGGAGACGCGACCGAGACGCGTAGTCTTTGAAATTTGCTAGGGCATCCATAGTCGTGTTCCAGAACGGAACGTTTTCTTTTAGATCCGCGCAAGCCCCTCGCTTTTGTCTATATCTCTTGAAGCTCGACTGTGCTTGTGTTTTGTTGCATCGCTGCATTGTTTCGAAGACCTGTCGGATGATTTGCACGGCGGTCACATGACCCGCAGATGCGGGAGATGCGATGAATGGGACCCGGGAAGCAATTGCTCTCATTTCACATCAGCCTGTACTTTTTCTTTTCTTCATTCAGATTAAATATTCCTGAAGTAAACGACATTTTTGGGAAGAGCCCTGAATTTTTCAGTTTACAGAGGTGCAATGGTAGGGAGCATCGCTGTCAGTGCCAACGCGCCGCATCCATGAGATCTTTTCAAACGAACTCTTCCACCATAAAGGTTTTTCAATTTTTAGTTTTTGCATTCAGCCAGATATGTCCGCTAATTTTCCTGCTGATTTTTTTTTTTTTCGTTAGAACGAAAACTTGGCTCTTAAAGTGATTAACACCTGAACTACCCCTTTCGTTACACGGTTGTGGCCATATCTGTACGGATGCTATAGTCGTATGGATGCCATCTCATCGAGACTGGGCACCATTGTACATCTTCGCAGGCTTTTATCATCGCATCGGTCCCAGCCATCCAGGAGGAGATGGGAGTGAGTCCAACAATTGTATCTTTTCTTCTGTAGCATTCACCACAACAGGAAACAAGATTCTATCGAGATAGTGATAATTTCCACAGGCGTGTTGCCGCCATTGTCGCCAGCCAACTCCACAGTCATATACCTCGTTGTACTCGAAAATATAGTCCATTACCATCGATAAGTGAATTTCGAGATTTATCTCTTTGAAAACTGTTCGCTGATTAGAAAGCATATCTAACAGCTGCTCAAACTCCCATTGTTGCTGGATGAAGTCCTTCTTCTCCTGTCCTGTCAATGATTCACCCAATTCTCTGGTGTAATCGTTGATGAAGGTGTTAGAGTGACGTAGCGCTTTTTTGGCTTTGCGGTATGCCATTATTCGTTTAGCGTAGGCTAGTTTGCGCTCGGCCTCGATTTTATACCGCGTAATCTGGGAGCTTGGGAGGTCTTCGAATTGTTGGTGTGGGTTTTCAGGCTCAAAATTTATGCAAAAATTTTCATAAATCTTCGCTGGTTGGAGCAACTTCATTGATGGTGCCATTGCTTCCTGGATGAGCTGATCATACACGTCTGAAGAAAACATGGGTTTGTGCCTTAGTTTATCCTTGATGATTTCCCACGGATACAATGGAATATGGTAGAAGGGATTTGCTGTTTCTCTCTCCACTTGGACCTTCTCGTATTCTTTGTATCCTTGTGCAATTCTGACCCACTGCTCATGTACTTCTGGTGGCGGGTTCAAAAACACTTCCTTCTGATCTCCGGCAAGGCGATCCCATAATTTTTGCAGGTGTGCAGCTTTCAGGCCGCTCACCTTAAGAAAAAGGTCAAACCCTTTAAGAGACTCGTTCCAGGAAGTTGCAGGCGTCGATGTTGTATTCTGAGATAGATTAAGTAGACTCTTGTGAAATAGCTTGTATGGCTGCGGCAAAAGCAACTGCAGTGATTTGTAAGTATGCTGAGCAAAGAGCAGAGTACTATGCCTCATGTTATACGAGATTCAAATCAAAGGTGAAAACGATAGTTCGTTGTTTTTGACAAGATGGCCACAGTTCCATATCTGAAGGATCCTGTGTATCTACCCGGTGAGAAATCAAATGCGAGATCTGTGGAGGAACAGATTCTCTCCATACTGAAGAGCGGAACGTAACTTTCCTGAATGAGATTATATGACTTCATGATAAAACTCTTGACGGCCCAGGTATTTCTCTCATGCCATAAGCCTTTGGCAAAATTATCATTCAAATGTCTCAAGTTCAAAAAAGAACTTTCTTTTTCCATTCTTTGTTGCGCATATTAAAGGTTTCACTTAATTCGCGGACACAATTTTCTGGTCTCGCAAATTTTTTAACAAACGGCGTTGTTTTAGTCCATCAGCTTTAATAAAACACATTTTCAAAAAATTATTGCAGTTAGATAAAAATTAAAAAATCTTAGTTGGTCATTATTCAGGGAAGAACTAGTACCGATAAGAAAATAAAGTCTGATTTTCCGAGGTTATTTCGCAAGTAGATTAGAAAGCTACTGTATCGTGAGGAAGCGCCAATTGACAAAACATACAAGCCTTTACATTCTAGGTATCTAGAATAAAAAAAAGTAGAGTCTTTACACACTCATTCCATTTCGAGGACTATTGTCGACTTACGTTGCACGAATTATTTTGAACCAATTCTTCTTATCTTTTTTCTTCCTCAATCTATGTCTGATCTAGCGTCAAATCGTATGAGACATCTTCGCAATGGTGAAACTTCGTAAAGTTGAATACGCTAACAGGAGCTTAACAACTATAATGAAACCTAGCCAACTGACAAGGATCGTGTTGCGTATCTCAAATTTCTTTTATGCAAAGTAACCCCACGAGATCCGTGTCTATGATAACTTCTTCCGTTTGAATCGGCCCATCGAATTTAAAATCTCAGAAGCTCGTCAGTTCATCCGGTTGAAAAAGTAGAGGTTTACACCGTCTTCCTTCTGTGGGCTCACTTGAATAGAGAAACAAGGCTCGAAAGAATTCGCAAAAAAAAAACACACTTAATAGCTTCCTAACGCATACCAAATGTCGAAGCACAACCGAGCCCCTTTCTTCAGTCACATTATAGACGGTCCTTCTTGCACATATCTGTTTATGGTTTTTCTTAGGAGACATTTATTTGATTCAAGAAACAGCATCTGGTTTAGTTGGTGTATTCAAATAGGCGAATCTCTTGGCCTTTTTTTCTTTGCCATATTCACTTAAACAGAGGAGTAAAACTATACATGAATTAAAAAAAAAAACAGCTCCCAGATTTTTTATGCAAAGAAAAAGCTATTTTTTGTCAGACTTATCTGATTATAGAAGCAAAACCGATCCTTTTGGCCTGTATCTGTTTACGTATTGCATATTACGTCATCGACTCCTAGGATAGATCTCCTGTAGTAGTCGCTTCAATTCAGATGGCTGTAGCGGACTTAAGGAGCCAACTTTCTAATCGCCATACCTTCTGGTGTGTAGACCTTGAAAATCGTGGTGACGAACCAATTTAATTTTGTTAAGTTCTCCAAAGACTTGTCGGCCGGGGCCAACACTGAGTTCAATTTCATGGAGCTGTTGTAGATTTGGCTTAGGAAAGCGTCTGTGGCATCTCTGTTGTTGTGAATTTGGCTAGTGCAAAGATAACATTAGAAATCAAATGTGTCGCGTGGTACGGTCCTGCAAGGGACATATAATCCGTAATTGATGTGATGAAATGAATGAAAGATAGATCACTTTGCTTTCCCTCTGAATGATGCACCTGATAGTAAAGCTCGGCAAACAATATCCAGTCTCCATTTGGGTTTTTATATATGAATATTTGATGAAATCAACAAGAAAATAGATAATTGTTTTTGTATCTTTTTATATGTAGCACGCTATCAGCAAATATTATGAAACAGCCTGGAGCTGTCTCTTAAACTACGAGTAGATCGGTTTATAGATAGTTCAGCCTTAGTGGATAGGCCTAGTCTATCTGTCGTATTCTCGATGTCTAAAAAGTGTTATCCTCCTTCAGGGATGTCTCAGCCTCACGCTCCTTTATAGTTCGGAACCCTTCTATACAGTAGGTGAGGGGTAACCCCGATCAGGAATGTTTAGACTCTTCGTCCTTCGTATTATACAGGATGCCCAGAATCTATAATCTGGCTCATGTCGTATCATAACATTATCTCCCCAAAATTAGAATGTTCGTCCTCGAACAGTTTAGTTATCATGGATAGAGGAAAGCCTCGAAGTACCTTCGCCGCGTCTGATTATTCTGTGACGGCGTACTACCGCGTGTTCTCCGGTTGTAGAA